TTTGTCGTTACAGTTTTTAGAACATTTTATACGATCGACCGCGACACATAATAAGAATTTTTACAATGAAAAAAAGCTAGTCCTCAGGTATTACAAGTTTCTACGAAAAATGATCGAACAGTTTAGCGAATAAATATCTTTCTAAAATCTTGGTGGTACCATATGACCTTATAGCCGAACATTGAAATATGACACGGTCTCTTATATTTTTTGATTTTCAAAATTTTCATTAACTGGTGATACAAATTTGTCGATCTTTATGATAATTTTATTATGTTTAAAATATTTAGCTTATAAAAATACGGTTAAGATTTTTTTTAAAAATCCCAATACTATTTAAGGATAATTGAATTCCCATCACTAATCATTATTTGGATTTCATGATTGACGTTTACTAAAATCCCGAAAATGTTAAATCGAATATCTTTTTTGCATAAAATCCGGGGATCTTAAGCTATCTTAATTATCTCTGTTTACAAACGGCTCGACATCTTTTGAACTTTCATTTTCAATCGAAAATTTCTATCAAGTTACACTCATTCATCCTGTATAGTGACACTTTATGAGTCGATAATTTTTTTTTTAACAAAAAAGCTTAAAGGAAGCTTTGGAAAGTAGTTCAACACAACAGCTTGCATACTTTATAACAATGTGCAAGAATAATAGAACTTTATTTTTTTCTCTAAAGTTACTTTCATTGTGTAATACTTAAAAATTTTCAAAAACTTATGCAGTGACTATAATCAAAATTTTAATATTATTGTGGGGTTTGTGGGGAGAAATTGTCACTTGTCCCACAATATCTTTTAATTTAACCTTACTGTGACACAAATCGTCATTCAAAAAAAAAATTTTTGTTTAAAACATTTTCCTTTAACGGCATACGGTTTATTAATTGCCGGAATAATTTCATTTTATTTATTTATTTATTTATTTTTAACTTGTCAGAATTTATAATTTGGTGCTTCATTAAATTAATTTATTCCATTTATTTATTTGTGATATGTAATTTACCTTAATTAATAGAAAATTCTGGAAATCCTTATTGATATCTATCGATTTCAAGCGGCTAAACGACCATAACTTATAACAATGAAAAAAAATATTCTTGTCGAATTTACTATTAATATGTATCATATGCAATTGAAGAACAATACCAGAGAAGAATCTCTTACTACAAACGTATACCATTCACATAACCAGGGGAGAATATTCCAAAGTTGATTGATTATAGCTAGCTTATTTTCTTTCTTTCAAAGGTGATATACAAAAGATGTAACTTTTTTGTATGAACCTTAAAAAAAAAAAAAAAAATAAACACATGATTGAATGAATAAAAGGAAGGTATAAATGTAAATATTTTGTAAATTATTTTAATGATTTACTTGTACCACGAATTCGGTATGGTATAACAAATAAATCAAATTTTATTTTATTTTTTCTTTTTTTCTTTTAACTCAAAAGTTTTAACATATTTGTAAAATTAATCAGTTCCGATCATGGTCTTTTGGCTGGTAGTACATTATGCAGTCTGATGTCAAAAAATTCGAAATGATTCCCCAACTTGGTTTATAATGACGAAACTTTCCAATTATAACACGTTAATCACGTCCAGTTTTTTTTTTTTTTTTTTCTCCTTACATTTCAACAAAACTGTGTGAAAAAAACAAAAAGAAATCTATGCAAGAAGTTTCCGCTCGAAAAAAAAAAACTGGTAATTTATAACATAATCTATCCTATTTTGTTTTTTTTATTTAAATTTTTTTTTTTTTATTTATTTGGAAGGTAATTCGATTGAACATATTCAAACTCATTTGATGTTTAGCATCCCAATATCCCCAAGGTTTGGGCAAAAATATAATTGGAATTTAACTTGTAAAATCATTTAGTTTTGCATGAATGAATTTATTGTATTGTTTACTGTCTTTCATTCAAAAGTATCGAAACTTAATTTCAATTATTTTTCTTTTTAAAAAAATTGAAAATCACATTTGTCATTGTTCGAAAAAAAACCGTTTTGTATAACATTGTCAATGTAATTTTAATAGTCTTCCATAATTAGATTAGTGTGAATTTTATTAAATAAACTATGATAATTGTTCTCTATTATTCCAACTGCATAGAGTCATCATTTTGAAAGGGAAATGGACTAGTGGGAATGACAAGTTGATTACTGGAAAATCACTTACTCTCTTGACTTTATAAATTCGAATCGCTTGTTTTGAAATCACCATCCAAATTTGCAAAATTGTAAATATTGATTAAATAAATGATCAAATCAAATCAAATAAATATTTAGATGAATTGCATGTATTTAAAGACAGAAAAAAACCTTGGTTCCACATTTTATTCTTTCTCTTTCATGTTTAAAAGTTTCAATAAAAAAAAAATATTATTTTCTTTATATATATATATATATATATATTTTTTTTTTTTTTTTTTTTTTTTTACAAAAATTATCCCAATACTTAAAAAATATTCATTATCAAGCGTAAATTAGTCTCTTGAGACTTTTTCAAATAAAAAATTCACAATAATGCAATTTTGAAAGAAGTAATCTTATAATAGATAAATTAATCAGATATCCTTAACTAAATGCCAGCTATAATATGGGCTATCTCGGGTGGATTTATTTACAAGGGCTATGAACGAAAACACTAATTACAAGGTTTCATCGACCCAATTTGTTTCGCAATATGGACGAAAGGACCAAGACAAAGGCAAAGGAATATGAACTCCCAACCCGAATTCTGACCAAAACTTATCCATCTCAGAATTCCATTCTTATGCATTCTGAAAATTTTGAGACATCAAACCTCTACCTATAAAAGATATTCGCCCGAATATTTCCATTATTTCGCCTTTCACGGAATCCTTATAAATGATATGAAAATTTCCGTGATTTTGAGCCCTTGACGGAAAAACATGGAAAACAAACATGGATCAACTTTTTTTTTATAGGGCTATGTTTATTTTTTTTTTTTTTCATAGCATTCGACAGATTTTTTTTTTAATACGAATAACGTCGCTATTACGCGAATTTACCAACACAAGATATAGCCTGAAAGATATTATACCGATTAATTAGTATAGTTAGTATAGTTAAAATTAGTACAAGAACAGTGTTAATTATATTTAGTACATACAAAATTTCCACTCGATAAGTTCACTTTGCTCATACCGATTTAGTATATATTGTAATTTCATTCATCTTGGACCTTTCATCCACATTGCGGAATAAATTGGGCTGAAAGGACCTTGTTTTAGTATTCTCAAACCATTCACTCGAGGTAGACGTATTCTATTTGGCATTTAGTTGGGTATGTCTGATAAATTTATCTAGCTATAAGAATCTTTCAAAGTTGCATTATTGTAAATTGGACAATATGCTTGAGATTAAATTATTATGATGTATTTAGAGTTAATTTAATAAAAAAAAAACCCAAAATCATTTATGCATATATATATATTTTTTTTTTATTTTTTCTTTTATTATTAAATATGTTCAATGAAAATTACCTTTTTCAGATGATTTGTGATTAAAAATAAAGTTTGTGTGTTGAAATATATTAATTTGTGGTTTAGTATTTATTATAAAATTTAAAAAAAAAATTTTCGTCTTAAAATAAGTCACTTTGTTATTAATTCCAATTATGGTTTCATTTTTTTTTTTTTTTTTGGCGTTAGGGCGTAAAACACATATAAAGGTTTAGTTCAGTTAACAAGAAAGTATAAGAAAGTAAATTTTTTTTATTCGCTCCGAAATCTCCTCCTTTGTTAAATTTAACATATATATTTTATTATGCATAGGTTAAAATAATCATAATCAGTGTGATCAGTGTGATACAAGCTATCATAAAAATAAATTAATCATAAAAATCAAAATGGAGGTTACGAAAATATATGAGGTGATAAATCTATAATGGAATCTTTCTTAAAATACAAACTAAAAAAAAAAATAAAAAAAAAAAAAAGAGGTATTATTATCGTTATACTATATGAAAAGTTGGCAAATTCTTAGTTATTGTGCATAAAGATTTGAATGCAAAGATAAAAAATTAAATGAAAATAGCGCAAGGATTCGACTTTTTTTCTCTCTAACGAAAATTAAAATGAAAATAACGCTTCAGATTCGATTTTTTTGAACGACGATTTTTTTCTCTCTAACGAATATTAAAATGAAAATAACGCTTCGGATTCGATTTTTTTGAAAACAACGATTTTTTTTCTCTCTAATGCATGTTAAAATGAAAATAACGCTTCAGATTCGATTTTTTTGAAAACGACGATTTTTTTCTCTCTAACGAATATTAAAATGAAAATAACGAATCGGATTCGATTTTTTTGAAAACAACGATTTTTTTCTCTCTAACGAATGTTAAAATGAAAATAACGCTTCGGATTCGATTTTTTTGAAAACGACGATTTTTTTTCTCTCTAACGAAAATCATCCAATCGGAGAAAATTTCATTTTAGAACCGATTTGTAATAGCTCATATGATAATATGATGACAGCCCCCCCACAGCAAATAATTTATGGAAAACAAGAACCGTTCAACATCGAAGTAGCAAACTCGTTGTCCGTATTTTGTGGACCCATTAGGCGCATCCTCCTTAACATGACAGCATTATAAAATGTTATGTTATAACGACGTTGATGTAAATGTTGAAATCTCCTCTTTCTTCGATTTGCGACAACATTATTTCGATACAAAGATAAAGAAGCCATTTTTAGTAGAGGGGGTTTGAGGAAGGATGTTAAGAAATGATGGTAAAAGAATTCGTTTAAAATAATTTTGAATTTCAATGTGATGATTTTTTTTTAATAAATAAATGTTTATAAAAAAAAAGATGAAAAAGTTGACCCTTTTTATAAGTTTCAAAAAGTTTCAAGGAATACGTCGAAATATATTTATTCAACTTTTTGTTATATATGCGATTCAAATAATTAAAGAAATGAACGATTTCATATTCTGCGCGCCAATTTTACATTTGAATACAATTGGTCATGCACGTCAAAATAATCGTCTTTTTCAAAGAAAAGAAAAAAAAAAATTTTGTAATAACATTATTGTACGCACCTATTGTTCAAAAAAAAAAAAAAAAAAAAAAATGTCAATGTGACTTGTCTGTCAAAAATTACATTTCTTGGGGTCTTTTGACATTAGAAATTGGGTCGGCGTCATTTCTAGCTAAATTAGGTATGATATTCTTAAGTACCCGTTCTCCTTTTGAATGGGGGGAAAAAAATTTGCGCATAACCCCCCCCCCCCCCCCCAATTGCATAGATTAGTTATAATAATAATTGTCTTAACTGTTGTCAAAAAATTAAGGTTACACATAAAATGATGATGTTTGATGATTTTTGTGATCTTCCGATCTTTACTAAGTAAATCGAATTTTAGCATTTATTTATTTGCAAAAAATTTATTTTAAAATATTTTTTTTCGAGATTCAACCTTTAAAACAAATATAAATGCATTTTTCTAGATATTGTAATTTGTACTTTAAATTTAATGTAAAAGCGATATTTTCTTTTGAACGCCTACCGCACATCGGATGACCTTTTTTATAACGCATATAATCAATTGGTTTTTTTTTGCGATAAAATGCTTTGATGATTCCTCAAAAATCTGAGTTGCAAAATTTTTCATAACTAACTTTATTTGAAATTCCGTTATTTCCTCAGCCTCGGAAAAAAAAATAATCCTTGTTCTATTAATATTTCACATGTAGAGTTATATGCAATAGTCCAATATTAGTAAGTGTAAAACAAAAAAAAAAATTATCTTCAAGGCTGTTTCTGCTTTTACTTATCATAATTAAAGTTGCCAACTCAACATCCCAACATTTAAAACCAATTGTGACACTCCGCAATACCACTTTTTTTTTGTTCATCTTATCGTTAATAAATGAATATGTACAGTACGTAATGTATGTGATACAATGAATCTGGTTTTATCAACCGCTCCGAAAATAAAATTGACAGCTTTTTCGGAATAAACGGAGATACGGACATTAGAAAGTTTTGCGTACACATAAATGATCAACGCCAAAAGTAACTATATTTCATTTGCCTTTGATTGAAGGGCATCAAGGGCTTTAAAGATTGTCTTACAATCTGAAACCGAATTTTTTGTTCCGTACTTACACAAATTTTAATTTGATTAAAATTTGATTTTTTTTTTTTCTTGTTACACATGAAAGATGAAAAGTCCGAATCTAGCACAATATCCGAGTTGATTTAAAAAAAAAAAAAAAAAGTAAATGAAATATCCTGCATTTAATAGATTTTTTTTGTTTATCGAGGCGTGAGAATTTTTTTTTTTTTACATGATGTAGAAAGTGGATCACATTGACCAATGCGTTCGAATGGCCCGTCCGTAACTGTAATACAAAAGAATATTACAAATAAAAAAAAATTAATTTTTATCAATTTCAAAATCAAATATTCTAATATATTTATTTATTTATCAGTAGTTATTAAAAGATGATTATGCTTTAATTAATTAATAAATAAGAAATATGTAATATTATTATTATCTTTAACTATTATTAAATATATTTTAATAAACAAACTAATTATTAAAATTTTATTCATTTTAATAAATTTTAATTGTTTACTATTTTACTATTGAAAATATAAAATATTAACCTACTTTTATCTGCAGATTTTTAATAAAGTTTTAATAAAATTATAATAAAGTTTTACTTTTATATATTTTAATAAATAAAAATAAATATTATTAATCAATTACAAATCTTATATTACTCGTGTAACTGCTACTTTAAATCGTGTAACCATTTCGCATCTATGTTTGTATAAAAGTATAAACCAACTTTTGCTCTAGCATTAAAGTTCGCAAACAATGGGTCAAATTTACGTAAAATAAAATTAGAGCAAATTCCCGACAGTTTCTCTTTTTAGGTCTACTTCAAATGCTCTTTCTATCAACTTATCATAAAAATTTAACGAGAAAACGAAAATGAAGAGTTCTGGAATCGAATCAACTCATAGAAAATTTGTTGTAGAATTTTTTTTTTTTTTTATTATTAAATTCAGTTCTAATGAAATTAATTAGGAATTTTTTTTTATATATAGAAAGCGATATGTAACATCATAATTTTTAGGTGATACATGTTTGACTGAATTAAAAAGCAATAGATTAAACATATAGAAGTAAGGGTTTATTTTATTTTTGTTCATAATTCTTAATGGAGAATTAATTGAAAGTTGTAGTAATACTTACGAAGCGGCTATATTTTATCAAGTGGTGAGATAATAAGCATGTATGTATGCTATGTGTAATAATTAATAAATTTTGCGTTTCAACAAATTGAGTTTTTGAATTCCACCAGAAATTCCTTAAAAATTGACGGGTAATCCTTATTTTACTAAAAGATTATATCTTTAGGTTGGTTTTTTCTTATAAAATTTTGCTAGATGATGCAGTGAATTTCTTTCATCTTTAAATTCAATTATTGTATTATTATGTGAGTAAATTTTATGTATATAATCATAAATAGGTGGTAATCCATATTGTCTAAAAAGGAGAACCGTTAAAGAGTTGGTTGGCAAATGGGTATCTTTTTGTGATGGAAGGAGTGCGATCCTATACAAAATATCATTAGTTTCTCTTCTTCGGATTAATTTTATTTGATTGCGGCGAAGTCTTTCCTTTCTTATTTGACGGATAAGTTCAAAAGCCATTTCATATATTTAAAAATTATTATTTTTTTTTAAAAATTTGTATGTTTCAAAGGAAAGAAGTTTTAAAAATAGATACAACTAGAAGTGAATTATTTATATTACGAATCCATTAGTAGAATCCTATCGATCAAACTCTTTCAACTCTTTCATCAATTTTGTTATTACAATTAAAAAATCTTTGAATTATAGTATGTAACAGTATAATATAATGATATAATATGATGTTTTTTTATTGTTCATATTCTTACGCTTATCTCTAAAAAATTAAACATTTAGAAAGTCCTAATATAAATAATTCGTTGCACAATGAACACAAATGATAGTGGTAATTTTTTCATTAATAATACTTATGTGAAAACATGTAATCACATGTAAATTAAAAAATGAAAGTAAACAATATTGATCATTTGCCATTATTATTTCTGTTTATATTGTTATTTGTTGGCAAATCTAATGTATTGATAAACAAAAGATTCCACAAATATTTGGTTTATTGTGGGGTTTAAAATGTGGGGTAAAGTTGGGGGGGTTAAAGACGAAATTTAATATCTTAAAACTACAAATTATCGGTCAAATCAGTCAAATCTCCGCAAAAAAAAGATGTGACGATTTATGCAATAAAATATTGAATAATATATTTTCTTTGTAATATTCTATTCTATTATTAGATTAGATTTTTATGGTATAATGCGTATGCAAAAAAATTTGTGCTGATCTCTCACTTGGCATATTTCTTATTGTTTAGTTTTAAATAATCATATAATGGTTAATATATAGTACCTGATTATCGTAATATAAATGAAAATTATTAGTATAATTTTATAATCTTCTCATTTGGTCTCAAATAGCAAATTTTCAAAAAAGTAAAAAATATGCTTATAAAAATTTTATATGATATGGTGTACATAAAAGTATGGAAACTACAAAAAAAAAAAAAAAATTTGGTTTTATAATCTTTTAGTAAAATAAGTTTAAATTTAACAATAAAGCAAAGCATCTACATAAGCTATAACAATTTCTTAAAATAATTCAGTTAAATTAAATAAATTCTATAATTCTAATATTATATTAATTACAAATTAATTGTTTAAAATTAATAAAATTAACTACATAAATTAACTACATATTTTCTATAAAATTAACTTAATATTAATTAATTAATGCTGTATATATAAAATAATTTATTAATTTTTATTAAATAAACATTAATATATTTTTAATTTAAAAGTATTATAATAATTTTATAATAAATAATAGTATATTATTAATTTTTAATAAAATTAGTTTAATTAATTTAATTAAAAATATTATTATATTAATATTATTATATTTTATTTATAAATTTTTATTATTTTTATAATATATATATAAATTTAATTTTTTAAATTTTAAAAAGTAAATCAATAGTAAATTTTTTTAAAAAATAAGTAATTTAATTTGTTAACAAATTTAAAATATTAATTTAAATAAAGTATTCTTTTATTTTTAAAGTAAAAATATTAAATAAATTTTTATTTTAACTTTTAATATATCTTATTATAGATTTTTAAAGAAAATATATTTATTAACTTTTAATTCTTTGTATTGTATAGTTATCTTTCTGTTAAATCATTTATTTTTTTAATCCAGATAAATTTTTTCACTATACTTTAGATGAAATTCATCCTTAGATATTCTACTTCAGTAAATTATAAAGAACATCACTAAAAGAATATATTTCATCGAAAAACGATCTACAAAAATTATCTGAAATGTAACTACGATTTGATTGGTTATTTTTTTTTCTGATATCAATAGATCGTGAAAATTAACGTTATCAAAAAGGATAACCAAAAGTTTACAATGAATTCTTTGAGATCATTAATCAATTTAAAGAAATTTTCTCGTCTGAATCGATTTTCACTTATTAATAACCGATTTCCTTTTTATTCTAGAACAAACAAAGCTTCGATCTCCAACCTTAAATATTCGACAACTTCAATACAAAATGAGAATATCACAGTTTGGAATGTTTATGGACCTTCATTTGTTAATTGTTTTGTAATTGGTTCAATAACTTATATTGGGTTACATGTTATTTGGTATAAATTAGCTTTTGTTGAACTTCAACAAGAAATGGAAAACAAAATAAATGAATTAGAAAACAAAATTAAATGTTTAAAGAAAAATAAAAATTTGGAAAATTAGATTAGGTTGTTTTATTTTTATTATAATTTTTTTTTAAAAAAAAATTCATCCGTAAATTATAAAGTAATATTCTTCTTTATATTATATTTTTAATGAATCATCTTACATCACCTATAGATACCTTTTCAATTACAATTTTTCAAAATGTACTGTAGTTAGTGACTTTTTATTATGGGTTCCTCCAGTCTCGATCTTTTGGTGCTAAATATTTTGTATTCAATATTCTAAAGATGTCATCTTCACTATTAACTTTTAATGGTTTTCCAACTACATTATTTTGTTCTATTGGAGCTAATATAGTATCACTTAATTTAAATCCTCTTTCGTGTGCTCTTTTTTGTAATGATTTATAAAATGTTTGATCTCCTGTTTTCGCTAAAATTGTAAGCCAATACCTTTCATATGATACGGCTCTAAAATAAAAGGCAATTAAATTATCGATAATGCTAGTAATAATAATAATTTCTTCAATCTTACCTCATTTCAATTTTACGACGCAAATATGGTCTTGCTTTTGGATTTAGTGGAGGGATTCGACAAATTGCCTAACAATATAATCATCATCTCTCAATATATATATATAAGGTACCACCACCAAAAAAAAAGTAAAAAAGTTCCTTACTAAATATTTGTAAGGTTCCATGAGAAAGGAATCAGTACAGAACCCTTGGTTCGTTAAATCATAAATCAATTTCTTCAAAAAATTATCATTATTTTCAGTAGCGTTATCATCTTTTAAATCAGGATGTGAAATAACAATATTTAACGATTCAGAAAATTCTGCACCTCGACGACTAATTATAAATATATATATATTATAAAAGATTCTTAAAGAGAGAAGATAATGAATTTTGTATTAAACATACAAACTACCACATGTTTCAGCGAGATAACGATCATCTAATTGTTTCAGAGTTAGATAAATATATTTCTATAAAGAAATTAAAATGTTAAGAATATTTCTATTTAAGTTAAAGATCACTGAATTAAATAATTACTTACATGGATTAATTTCATTTCCCATCTTGGAATTTTCTTATCCAATTCCTTTCTATACTCAATCATATATTTTTGGTCTGGTTGCAAATCTGGGTCATCTATTAATTCTTCCACGGTTTTGTAACCCTTCATCATAAATTTTATCGCATTAGCCCTTCTTTAATAAACAACATAATTATACATTAGTTATATGTTGTTATAGTTATTTGATATACAAAAGTTATTCAGTTACTTTCTAAGTTACGCGTTTATACCCGATTCGTGGTATCTTTATCATCACATTAAATATTTGTCTTTCAACACTATCGGGATATCCTGATTTATAAGAACATGTACCCTAAATAAACAAAATATATAAATTAAGGTAATCATCCTAGTTCTTTGTAAGTGCAATGCGTAAACTATAAAGGAATGAAATAATACCGTTCATTGAATACTATGTTTCACTCACCATCTCCAATATTTCATTAATCTTCGCTTCAATACTTGGTCCAATAAATTTAAGTTTACGAGCCTCTTTTCCAGATTCTATTTTCTTTGGATACGCTTCAACAGATTTAATTGCGGCACGATATGCACGTTCTCTATAAAAATCACCGACCGCCTCTTCTTTTTTTGCAAGTTCTACAATGTAAAGAAAAAAATCATTTGTTATTCCTTATTTGTTGTGTTAAGAAGAAATAAAGTGTCAAATATAAATCATAACCTTCTAATATATCGGTGATATCTTTATTGAGATTATTCTGTTTATTCGATTTTTCAGGAACTAATGACTCGTCTGGCTCAAAAGCAACACTTTTATTCTTATCAAATTTAAGAGTTCCGTACATATCAAAATTATTTTGAAATCTCCCATTCTCGAATCCTGTTTTGTTATCAGTATCAAATGGCAATGCATTATCTTCAGTTTTACTTACTTTGAATTTTGAAAGAAATTTAAAGCTTCTTATTTCTTTTGGTGGAAAATATATATTAGAGTGTTGTATTAATTTTCCTGTTATCGAACTATTTAAACAAGTATGTTGAAACCGTATGAATGATGGTTTTTTCGTTATTTGTCGAAATGATGATAACATATTTTGCAGTTATAATATATTCTAAAAATTTTTAATTTTCTTATCAGCGAAGAACAAAATTTGGTGAAATATAACAGTTTTCAACGCGTTCGATATTCATTAAAAGATACCAAATGGAGGACATTCCGTAGGACAAATTTATGGACGTCTAAAAGACGATCAATTTCATGGTATCCATTATGGCTTAATTAATTTTTTATTTTACTATGAATATAAAGTTTTATTATTATAGTAATAATCAATTTGTAAATAAATATGATATAATATGTGTGCATTTAGCAATAAGCCCCAACATGGGACCAAAATAATAGGATGTATTTATAGAGGATGTGACTGTATAATCACGATGTTAATCGATTTTCCCGCCTCTATAAATGTTCCAAAACCAACGGACATATTACTTACTCTGAGAAAAAATTGCAACAATTAATTTTCAGTAAGATAATATCCTATCACGGGAACTTATTGTTATGATACTGCGTCTATTGTATGTGTGATGATGTCAAAGATTTTCATATGTAAAAGTGTATTATACAGATCGAATTTTTTCTTGGGAACGATCAGAGTCATGTGACTTTAAAACAAGCTAATTGCGTAAATGATCAACCAGATCAATCTGTGAGACGATCGATTGAGCATTGTAAAGATTTTAGGGTGTCCAGAAATATGTGGTGGTAAATCTCAAAATATGTATGTGCTAATAAATAAAATATGCGATAATATGTGT